TAAAAATAAATAAATAAATAAATACGTATATATATATATATATATATATATATATATATATATATATATATATATATATATATATATATATATATATAAAATCAAAATGAATTTATTAAGGATTTTACAATTCTATTTTTAATTTATTAGAGCTGTAAGTTAGTATGCTTGACACCATAGGAAAGTTTTGAGATTTGGCTCAAAAACAGCAGTTTTTATAACTAAAGTTTCATGGAAGAGAAAGAAATGTTTAACTATTTGCTGCATTTTAAATTATAACAATGCGGATAGTCATTTTGTCATGTTTGACAGTGACAATGCAACATCACCTCAACAAACCATATGATTAGTTGCCTGTTTTAAATCAATGCAAAAAAAAAAAAAAAAAAAACTGCTGCAATTTTTTTCTCGGTGTACAACTTAAAAGCACATCAGGTCATCCAAAGGAATTACCTTGACCGTCCCTCAGCAGGTGGTGGGTTTGCTAATCACCGTCATGTTCTGATTTACTTCTCTAAGATTCAGATGATTGGCAGAATGAAAAGTTTGTTCGTTTTTAGACTCTGGGAAAAGGCTCTTGGTGAAGGGAGAGGTTTGCATCAGCGCTGTGTGGGCAGTAATGTTTAAATCAGACGTTGTGTGTATATATATGTGTGTGTGTGTGTGTGTTGGGTTTTGGATTCAGGGTCTGGGATTCTGATCGCACTACAGGGAGCAGCAGGCAGAGCGCGGTGATAACAAGCGCTCTGATAATGTGTGATTTTTATAAACACGGCTGCAAAGCGTTGGCCATGGCCAGCTGGAACTGCTGTCCATGACACGGAGGGCAGTCAGCTGCTCGGTATGGGAAAATAAACACATGTCAGCACATGAAGAGGAGAACTCGGTCAATCTGCCTTATTGATATCTTAAACTGTTTACGTTCATACGATTATAGCAAAAGTGGACACACACATAGAGATTGCTTTGCTTTTGACATTGCGCAGCACTTGGTTTGATCGCTCTAGTCATGTGATTATAGAATTGAAGATGAATATTTTAAAGCAAGTATTAGAGGATGCTAGTTGCGCTTGCGTTTGATTGAGGAACATATGCGAAGGCTGCCAAAGTTGAACCTATGTGTTGAGCAACAGATGGGTACTCTTTACGCACGACAAATTGCGGCCCAGCCTTGGGAAAGAGCAGAGCGCGCCACACAGGCAAACAAAAGTGCTAAAGTTAGCAGGCAGCGTGGGATCTTTGCTTCGGAGCCCCTTTGATCCAGACATTAAACTTGCTCGCCTGTTCAAACGTACGCCTGGCAGACCCCTCTGATACTGTCAGAACAGAGCAGTTGGCTTTTGTACCTTAATAAAGACTTTCTCTCCGATGCGGGGAGCCTCCTCCGGTAGTGTCCACAGGGGATCAGCGTTTGTTGACTTGGTGTATCCGTATCTGTTGTCTGTATGTATGATGTTAACAAGCACAGACACAGTTCAGGCCGATTGCGGATTATTTATTGGTGGTGGAACAGACAGTTGGTTAGAGAAGCTAAAAGCACTAAATATCGTAAAGGTTGCACAATGTTGACCTTTTCTTCTTTTCTTGTCTGTTTTCCACAGCATTCATACTTCGTAGCTCCTGATATTAACGGACTACCCACCATACCTGAAAGCGTGAGTATGCTTAACCTAGTTACAGGTCAAATACAAGGGCCTTGATATTTAAGCCACGTGTAATGTATGAATGCTATTGCACTATAAAAACGAGATTGTAAACAGAATGTGATGCAAAATATAAAACAAAACATGAAACAAAACAAAAGATGAATCAAATGGAAAACATGAAACAAGCTTCAGCTACTGTAAAACCCTGCTTCAGATTACACAATGTCACTGTGTCAGATTTGTTTAGATAAAATCTTGACGTGTTGTGGGTAACAAAAATGCCAGACTACACATTGCTTCACGATCAATCGTCACGTGGCGTCTTGGACGTACATGCTGTTATCAAGAACCCGCATTATAAATTATAATTGTCTCTTTTAAAGGGTCACTAAACACCAAAACACATTTCTTGAGATGTTGACAAACATATAGATGTCCCACGTTGTTAAAAGGACACAGATATTTTTTTTTGTAATTTAGTTTTTTATTTCCGAAAGTGAGAATATACAATTTTTACAATCAGATAACAAAATACTTTTAACAGATATAACCCCATATATATTCCCCATTCCCCCACCCCATTATACGCACATCAGGAAACACAGAATAACTATAGTTTAGACCAAGCTGTTAGATAATTTACATTAAGTTGTCATCCGTAGCATCAGATGAGGGTTAAGTGTCCAAGATTTCTTTGACGTTGCATATGTAGATTTTCCAAAAGGACACAGATATTTTTAGATTGTTTAGATCTAATTCGTTCTTCCGGTTTTAAAAGAAAGTTTGAAGCTATATCACAACGATGAGATCATTGTGTAAATCCCAGCGTGGAGATTTGCTGTTAGTACTGGCCAGTACAATGTGATGTAATAGAGTTTTCAGCACATTTGTTTATTAATCCATGAGAAAGACTTGCTTCGAACCAATCAGAGTGCTCTATTGTGATGCAACTTCAGTAATATGCATGATATAACTTTGAAAACTCCTTTTAGCTGTTACAGTGTTTAGAGAGACGCCATGTTGTGTTGCCATCCGTAATTCAAACAAGTAGAAGAAGAAGAATTGTTTTGACACATGGGACATCAGTGTTTATAAATGTGCCACAATGAAGGTTTTGTTTCCATTTCCCCCGAGAGAGTACAGCTCACATGTGGATACACATGTGTGGATTACAGTGGTCTGCTAACACGCGTCAAAAATATGTTTGCAAGGAAATTTTTTTACCCGAGAGCTTTTCGCATCTGGAAATGGTAAAATCGCTCGTCTTCTTTTAATAAAAGACGCTGTTGCAGTTCGCATTGATCGTCTCTACGGAATTAGTAAGTGTGCGATCAATGTTCTTTGTTTATGTTTATTCAGATAGCAAAGTTAGTTAATATCGTCAGCAGTACTCTGTGACTTTTGAAGACATACCTTGGTTAAAATGATTTAGTTACAAAGTTTACAGTATTATCGCTACAATATTATGGACTGAAATGCCACTGTAAATGCTGCTCTCCGAACTCAAACATATAAACACCTTAATCAAACTACTGTATTACCGTCAACAACATACAATTTTTGTCACATTTTCTGACAGGATAGTTTATACACACACTGCTGTTCATCCTTTTAATTGTCTGATGTGTTTGTTTACATGGTTATTCCAGTAACATCAGTATTCCATCAGGCTGCAGACATGCCTCTGCTATCGATCACCAACATTTATCTTTTTATTCTGTAATGGTAGACACATCATACAGGCATATTCTTGCCATAACTCCACTAAGCTTTCTTCCAATTGATAGAAGCAGTCCTTTCTTTTTAATTTTCCCATGTTAAATGTGACTTTCTGTAATGATGTCATGAAGTGTCACAGACATGGCATCATTTCCACTACATTCATTCTTCCATGGCGGGGCGCCACAGCAAAATTTATTCCCGCCACGGCTGCATTATAGCTTTCCATTCAAAACCTGCAGTTGTTATTGTTTTTTTATAGCTGGTTGTAATCGCACCAAAACCTATTAAAATGTAAGTGAATTTTAACAGAGTGAAACATTTCTGTAGCAGTTGTCTATTTAAAATACTTTAAATGTTTTCTTTTTTTTTCTTTACAGGCATACAGTGTCATGCAACTGTTTTGCAACATGTAAAATTCCCCAAACACTATTTTTAACTGTCCAAAATGGGCAAAAAATGGGTTGTTTTTACTCTCTAATAATCAAGATATGTTAAAAAAATTGTTTATATGTTATACGTATATGCATTAAAAACAGTCAGGAAAAAAGTGTTTTATGTAAATTCGTATCACGAGTCCACATATATGGACATCATTTTTCTCTAAAAGTACTTAGTCTCAAAAGATGATACTTAGGTTTTATTCTAATTAGATTCCAATAAGCCTAAATAGCAAAGAGAAATAAATAATGCACGTAAAAAGCACCCTGGGCCTTAAGAGGTTTTAACCACTTAAGAGCTAAATTGTGCTGTCCACATATGTGGCCACTAAGCTCTAGGAGGTTAAGGTTACATGCTGACTGACTGACTGACTGACTGACTGACTGACAGAGCTGCCCGATGCATGAGGCTAGCAAACACAACAAAGCTTTCAGTTATGATGAACACTGTTTCCATAATTATACCCCTATTTATTGATAAAGGTCTGGTTCTGCATAAAATTACTTTATCTTGCTGGAGTTCATGGCCTTTTCACTTTCACCTCAGGACACATCAATGCCCTTTTGTACAGTAGGTCTATTGGATACATTCATAAATATTCCTAGCAAATCTAATAAATGTTGGAGACTTACTTGTTACATAAACACACTAAATAGGACTTCAGCAGAGTTTATTTGAGAGCGCACAAAAAAAATCTAAGCTTGAGTAGCGTATATTTGAGGGAGTGCAAGTTGTATTGTGCACAAACAAAGAAAAATCAGTGCGCAAGCTAAGAGATTTGCTTGCTCGTATTACACGAATGCGATCTCAACTTGTAATACTGTGCTCACGACATTGGTCGATGAAATTACGCCATAGGTGGTTAGAAGATCTGTGTAAAAGGCCTGCCACCACAGCTGGAAAAAATCCTAGATGTAACACTGCATAGCATCATTCACTAACTCCCTCGACACGTCAAGCAAATCGTGCTGAAAAAAATCATGAAATCTAAATAGGGCTTTAGCAAAATCAGAAGCAAAACATGATATAAGCTTTAAACAAAATAACTGCACAATACAAACATGCCAAACAAAGACAGCTCAAAATGGAAACAAATCAGGTACATAAAGCAAAACAAAACATAAAGCAAAACAAAACACGACACAAGCTAAACAAATTCAAATATTTAAGAATGTGGTGTCAGAATTTCTCATTTCTTTTAAATTAATTATGTTTTTTCCCCCTAGAGAAATTTAACCGAGTACTTCGTAGCAGTGGATGTGAACAACATGTTGCACCTTTACGCCAGCATGCTGCATGAGCGACGCATCATCATTACCTCAAGCAAGCTTAGCACTGTGAGTTTCTGCTGTCATTTTCATTTACACATCAGACCGACAACGTTCTTGTTACTTTAAATATCAACATATGTTGCGTTTATACTATGAATGAAAATAGAACTACTTTTGAACGTAATTGTGTTGTGATGATGACATGATGCGTGATGGACTTTTAACCAAGGCTTGAAAACTTTCTCACTGGTGGGAGATGCAGAGTCATCTTCATTTGCTGATATGTATGGATGTGTTCCTCGCATCTAGCTGATGGAATGATGTACATCACAATAAATAAGGAACTTAGATGGCCTGTCTCTCAATAGCTGAATGGCAGGGAGAAAATACAGATACATTCTAACCATCTCCAAAAAGATACTGTACACTGATTCAGCTCTCGCTGTTTTTGGCTTTTTGGGGGGGGGGGGATATTTCTCAGGGCTGTAAGTCTGTAAGCTTTAAATTATCACTTATTGGATCCCTGACTCTTCCACATATTTTCTTTCTGGCTCTTCTTGCCTGAAAAAGGGAGTGGGCGCTTATCGCACGGGGGCGGACGATGGTCCAAACTTTCACGACAGTTGGTGGAAAAGCGGCGAGTGATGTCATTCGCTCCCTATCTTTCTCCTATTCCCCCTTGAGCATCTGCGGTGCGCTCGCCGACAGTGCCGGAACCGAGGGGCTCCCCTTGGACCCTTTGGCTCCGGAGGAGGCTGTCAGAATGACCCTATCCGTGGAGTATTTCACTCCTCCGGGCTGCCGCCTTCATTCCGTGTGCTCACTGACACAGGGGGTTAGAATGTGCAAATCATTAGTCTCTTGGGTAAATTGTTTTTTTTTTACTATCTCATAACTTGATTTACTGTTTCGCAGGATAGGAGCGCGAGTGACCTTGAGTTTATGGAAGTAATATGCCAAAAGAGTTACTACGAAGACTAGTGATATTAAGGTTCCACCTCAGTGAAGACTTTCATCATTTCAGATCTCAAAACCATCCGTCTTCTTCTCGAGAGTGTTGGGAGTTAGTACAGAAGACACATATGGCCAATTTAGCGAAAACATTCGTAGGCACAAGCGGAGACATATGGCCAAGTTCCTGAATTGAGATCCGATAGGGCATGTGACGGTGGTCAGGGTGTGGTGAGCCTACTGCTGCCGTTTCTACAGTGAGGGATAAAGAAAGAGAGAATGAATCCATTATGCATGCTGGCAGCGGACCCTGAGTGTCCGGGCCCCCAGTGAACCTGCTGTGTCAGTCTAGCAGAACATGGCCGCACACTTGCCTGTATTGGAAAGCAAAGGAATAAATCATGATCTAACAACAATGCATCAGTTGACTTATTGCTGTTTTGTGACCAGAGGTAAGGAGTACCACTGTTTTAAAAGCGTGTCGCAGGCTCCAGGAGGCAGCCGCCCATGCAGTCTTGTCATATGCCAGTATAATTGTGCTGCATCAGGATCCCTCTAACTAGTCAACTGGGAGGCCCTGGTGCGTTTCATCTGCGAGACCCCCTCGGCCGGCCCCGAGTCTTGACAGCCGCCTTCTCATCATGCTGTCAGTGGTATGCTAACAAGACCCGATCCCGTCTTGGCCTGTGGTGCTAGCCACTGAGGTTCCTTTCGGCCTCACACTTCTCGTTTTTTTTTTTTGTTCGTGCTCTACTCAGCAATGCCGTCTTATTTCCGTTCCTTCTTCAAGCATCTCTCTTACCACACCTTTAATAGACATTTTATCTTCCTCCGGCACTTCCTGTTCTCTTCTTTGTGTGTTGCAGTGGGAGTTGGATTAGTGGTGTTTTGCGCCCTGCGCCCTACCTCTACCTTTCCTTTTTTTAATGCCACCTCCTTGTTAGCGATACACCTGTGTCGGCGCCCTGCTCAGAGCCGTGCGTTTGTCAACAGGAGGGGAGAGCGAGGCTTGGTAATTGGGAAACAAGGAGAGGGCCAGGGGAGAGAAGTCTCGCAGGTAGCAGGAGTCAGCGCAGACTGCGGTGCTGTCACCCTTGTCAGGGGGAATCGCACCTCTAGTCTCCAGTCTGCCCCAATCACAGATTCCACTGTGAGCTTTGTTGTGCTTATCAAAGAACGGGACCTTTTTTTTTGGTCTTTGTCTATTCTTGGAGAAGTTGCCATGGATATTTTTGAACCCCAGCTTCTCCCTAGATGTAGGGAATATGTTCGTCAACTTGTTTACATAGACAGGGTTCACTGGAAAGGTGTTACAAAGCATATCTTTATACTTCATCTGTAGAATATATCTCAGCAAGGCAAAATGGTACAAATGTACTCCTAGAGATGAGTGTGAATGTGGTTTGATTGTGAAGTGAGACTTCTGTGACTGTCACCTGATTGGGGGAAGTTTACTGAACCAAGATGGCAAGATCCTTCTATTTCCTTTCCTCTCAAGAGAAATTTGCAGGTCTATTTCTATCAGGGCTTCTAGCATGCTGGTTCAGCAGCAGAAATTGTGTTGCGGATCTTGTTAGAATCATTCAACTTAAGGCTTTTTTTAACGACAGCCATTTAATGAGTTTGTAAAAATCTCAATCAATTTCTTTTTGTTATCAAAGATTTCTTTTTTACTGTACATTACCATTCAAAACTGAAATGTTTTTTCAAAGACATGTGCTGATTGTTTACAGAAATTGAAGGTAGAGGTATTAACTGAATGACTGCAGTCCAGTATCAAGTTTGGAAATGACATGCGGAGACGAAATTCTGTTTTTGACCAAAAAATAATGAGATGATTAGCAATAATCTGTCAGATATATATGATTAGGGTATTAGTATTATTATTTCTAGTCACTACTAATTTATTGTTTTATATAACGTTTTATTTTAGGAATTTATTTTTCTAGAAAAAATATAAATATTAGTGATGTCCAGATCCCATGACATGATCGTAAATCGGGCCCGATCACGCAGTTTCAAATTCGATCAGAATTAGATATAACCTCTCGATTAGGACTTGGATATGTATGTATGTATCTATGTATGTATCTATGTATGTATCTATGTATGTATCTATGTATGTATGTATGTATGTATGTATCTATCTATCTATCTATCTATCTATCTATCTATCTATCTATCTATCTATCTATCTATCTATCTATCTATCTATCTATCTATCTATCTATCTATCTATCTATCTATCTATCTATCTATCTATCTATCTATCTATCTATCTATCTATCTATCTATCTATCTATCTATCTATCCTCATTATTGTTCAACACATCTATAATTATGCAATGGTACAGAGTTAGACCACTTTCCTGACTTCACACTGAAACAGCAACGCAAGCAGCTTGACATCGCTTTATTGCAGAGACGCTAATGGTTAAATGCCAGCAAACTGGAACACAGAAGCGGAGAGTGCGAGTATGTCTGCGGTCTGGAGGTAATATAAATTTGATGAGAACTTTGATGACAACAACTTTGCGATAGAAAACTGTGAGATATGTAAACTTGGAATTGCCTGCCGGGTATTTTAAGTCAAGGTGCTGTTTGTTTTTATATTAGTTTTTTTTTTTGTAATTTACTGTTACACTAAAGTCTAAAAGTGAACAATTAATGTTATTTATTACTTGATTGTTCAAGCTACCTCAAAAAAGTGCTCGGTGTGTTAACAGGGTTGTTGAATGTTAAAATAAGGTGAATTGAATAAAAAATAAGGAACATCCTGGATCTGTTTCTTCAATCTTCCTTATTCTTTTTTAATGTATTATAGAAGTATCATATCGGGTTTTGGTATCGGTAGATACTCAAAATTAAATGACTCGAGGGCAAAAAAACCTGAATGGGAAATCCCTAATAAATATCCCTGTATTTATTTAGGAAAAGAAATGCTGCTACATAATTGTTGTAGGGCTGTGTCGTGTTCTTTGGGATTCTTTAGAATGGCTTTTTTTTTTGTCTATTATGTTTCCAATGCTTGGATGCTTTTGTATAATATGCTCTATGGTTGGTCTCCATAGAGAAGACCCCCACTTAACACGTCCCCAGCACGCTCATTACTGCTAACGGCGGTGGTAGCTCACTGGTCTCGGCAGGATCCAGCCCCGCATCCAAACAAGCTGTAATCCAGCATTTGTTACTGCGAATGACTCCTTCATTCAAAGGAATATCAAGCATACCTTGCCTTTTGTGGCCATTTGGCTTTCTTTTCATTTGGCATTTCTTCATTAATTATTCATAAGACCGCCAAATATTTTATTAGCTGCAGCTTTCCAACAGTGCATTGCGGGTACAACTGGAGATTCAATGGCAACGATACAGTTATTCTGAACTTTCTCTTTAATTGTCACAGAAAGGAGGTCATGGCTGATTTCTTTTTTTGCAGGATCGGGATGAGTCCCTCAGTTGTGAGCAAAACAACTTATGTGGGAAAAATATCAAGAGTTAATTTGTTTTTGAATTCCACCTTTTAATGTTTATCTAGGTTTCGCCACCTCCTTTTTCGTGCCCTCGCCTTTGAAAAGACTTCACTTTCAAGTCAAGAATAAATCAAGCCAATTGGGCTTTTTCTGTGGACATTGTTGAATTAATTGGAATGCGCCATTAGGCTTTCTTACCCATCTCTACATGGTACGCAAAGGTTCCCCTCTAAGAAACTAGACGGCAGTCTGTTCGCACAGTCAAAGAAAAGTGTTTCTTTGCAGTGCGATGACCTCTCAGCATGATTCATTTATAGGACCTTGAGAAAAAAAATCTCGAACAGAACGGGTCTCAAAGCTTTGATATCAACCAAACTTCAGTTGGTGAGAAATGCCATAAATATTCATTTTCTTTCTTCTAAATTGGCCGGACAAAATTAGATCTGTCACAACTAAAGCTTTTCGTTCTTTTCAGAGAACGGCACAACAAATTTGCATATGTTATAATGCACGCCATTAAATTACTGTTAATTAGCACTGCGCTATTTTGTGACTCAATAGGTCACGTCTCATCCAGAACACTTGAATTTGACCACAGTGTCACAAAACTCAACAACAACACCACCAAAGCGACCTTATTCCTCGCACATGGGTGTATACACAATACAGATGGGATTCAGAATTTAAGCTTCTCTCTTTGAAGCTAGCTGATGCGCCGTGGTCAAGCTTGGTTGGTTTCAGTGGTCAATTGTGATATTGTGTGTGTCAGTGAGCAGGGGGGGTCTCTTGATACTTCCAAGCCATGGTTCGCACATTACTGGAAGCTCCAATTGTCAAGACCCCTCTTCCAGCCCCTTCTCCCTGTGGTATTCCAACAGCTCACAGTCTCTCTTGGCTAACTCATGTTTCATTCTTTGGCAATTTGCCCTAATGAAGTCCCAGAGGAGCCTTCAGACCTCTGTTCTTTTTCCATATTTAATCATGTTATTTTAATCTGGAAGATGAGGAAGCGCCGGCGTGTGCGCGTGTGCCACACAGGTCATTACAACTGCTAGGTAGCCATGAGGGGGAATCGGGGTGTGGTGAGGGGTCACTTGGGTGTTTCACTCATTAAACATCCACACCAGCGATGTAATTAAGCGTTCGCATCTCATAGACTCGAATTATTTACTGTGTGTGTGTGTAAAACAGTAATAAAGCATCATTAATTTTGTTGGAGACGCTACACATTTGACACCTTGTGCTTTGGTGTATTTTTAGACCCTCGATTGATGCCCCAATTTTGAGTTTGAACTTGCGCTGTTAACATCAGAAAAGCAGAAAACAAAAGCGCATGTTTAATCGGCTTGTGATGTTGAGATAAAAAGAATAACTATCTAATGTTGCCTGCTCCCTTGGTCTACAATAAACGCAATCCCCTTAAGCAGAACACGTAAAACGGTGTCTTATGAAGGAGCTCACTTGTGTTTTTTTTTCGTAGTTAACTGCATGCGTGCATGGGTCCACCGCCATGCTCTACCCTATGCACTGGCAGCACATCTTCATCCCTGTACTTCCTCCTCACCTGCTGGATTACTGCTGGTAAGAACTGCTTTCATCCCCACATGCACATACTGTACTTGAGGGTGCGAATTATACATTAAAGGTGGGGGGGGGGGGGTATATTGTTATAATGTTGGTCTGTTATGCTTAGTAGTATGCCTCAGTGAACCAAATTTACATGTTTAATTGATTTAGATCTAATCTTTTAACCAAACTTATGTTTTTAGTTTTTTGAGAGATATTGAGAGGTTCTTTATGATATTTGTAATATTAAATTAATAAATTAAATTAATAAATGATGACAGGTTTGCTTTCCTGCACCTATTAATGGATGGCCATTAAAAATGCACATATTTTTTATTTTACTGTTTAATTTCTATGTGCGTGCCAGTTTATAATAAAATACAAACTTTGCGTCTAGATATACAGACACCCACAAACACCATTTTTAAAGAAACATGTTTTGTGAACACTTACGCTGTCTGTTGGGGCTCTATATTTGCTGGTTTCAAACCGATGAATTCATATTTGTGTTGCAAACATGTATTCACAATGGTATGAACCATTACAGGGGTGGTCAAATATATGAAGCCATCTATTATTTTAATTATTAATATTATTTAAGATACAGATAAGACCAAACTATTTCTTAACTATTAAAGCGCCGATCCCTCATATACCTTGTTTTGATGTCCTTTACGGGTGATCAAGGGGGGTTAGACCCCCGCTAGACCCCCCTGTAATTCGCACCCTGCTGTACTTACCTGTACAATAAATATCACATTTGTATAAGCTTAAGCTTTGCTGCTTTCTGATATTTTATGCTTTAGGCACAATTTTTGAAAATTAATCCATGGAAGTTTTAAAAAATCAAGTGATTTAATTGGAAAGTGACATCACTACGTTTTGTGTCGATCCTTATCTTTTAAGGACCATATTTAATAAAGAGCATGCAATAAAGATAGTTTTGTAATCAACTAAAGGTGCATTGCCACAACACAGTTTTTAACTCAATATGGCCAATTTTTGTATATGTTTTGGCTATAACAATAGTTTTAAGGGCATGAAAACTCAAATATTAGTTTGCAAGGGCAAGTATTTGAAAACAATATAATTATCGACTCTTTTTCAACAAAAAAAAAGTGGAATTTTTGTGTAATGCTATTTTCACATCAAACACAAAATGAAGAATTTGCATGAATAAATTGCATACAAAGACAATGCAAACGCATGAATAGAGGCAAATTATTGCTGCACAGCATGAATGACGTGTAAAGGCAGGTTTATACTTCTGTGTCGAGTGATCAGCGAGTGATCCACGCTGCCTGCCTTGCACATAGCCATGTATTTATACTTCTGTATGCTGTTTGTGCTGTTCTGCAATAACACTTTCGTAATGCTAGCTGGCAGTAGGTTTTCATGTTCCTCTGTGTCAAGTTTCTTTGCGGGTGTTTTTATTTTTATTTTAATGCTACCTGAATGTACAAGTAGCTAAAACTCACTCATTTAGAGGCTGGAATCGGCGGACGTGCAACAACTTTAATCATAAGGTAAACACAAAACAAAAGTTTCCATATGGATCTTCTTTACAGGACTTGACAGTGGTAAACACTTGTTCTATAAGGCTTGCACTCTCAGCACCGCCCACACTTGTCACAGCTACCCAGCCGACTTATCACAGAGCTTTCTCTATGGGTCGTTGTGACGAATAGTTACGTTTTTTGAAAGGTGCGTGTCAGCGTCGTTGTCATCCACAGGGAGGGCTATGCGACATTGCGAAGGCTGCACCGGAGCATATGTGTGCGCTTGATGCAGAAGTATAAATCAGCCTTAATGCGTAATCAGTTTGCCATGCACATGCAGAATTTGCCTCAATCGCTTCTAGGGTTGTCATGATACTGGAATTCAGTACCAATCAATACTGAAGTTTTTAAAAACGTCAATTTCCTGCTAACATTTGAGCGCTACTGAGCGCTGATTTGCCATTGTGTTCAAGTGCTCAACAGAAATGACTGTGTCTGGTCGTCAATAGTTTATCAAACTTACCGCTGTTTACTGAGTGTAACCACAGAAACAGGGACACTGAAACGTTTCAAATCCCGTCGGTTAGCTAATTTGTCTCTAAGCTGAAATACGAGCGATCAGCTGATGAATCCCGGCTTTAAAATCCTCCAGTGTCCCTGTATCTGTACCTGAAATGATGAGCTTCATGACAAAATACAATCCTTTCTGTTGAGCACGTGAACACAACGGCAAATCACTGCTGTTTAAGGACGCGATTAGTATCGCTCAAAAGTCAGCAGTATATGGAAAAAATAAATAAGTTTAAAATATCTGTATCGATTGGTATTGGATTCCAGTATCGTGCAACCCTAATCGCTTCTTCTCTGCAAGTAAAAAAATTTGTGTCAGTGGAAAAACATCCTTTGAGGAAACTAGAGCAAGTGATTTGGTACTTAGGCTCTGGTGTGAACCCAGCCTAAAGGTTGGCATCGTTGATACTTGAGTGAGGTATGCCATCTGAAAATATGCATGCATACTTGATAAAACCACAATGGCGGACTACAGAACGGTATGTGCGCAATTTCATAATGACATTGCCACCTACTGGCCTGGCATGCATAATACAGTATTTTTTGTCAATTTTGCAGAGATTAACAGAGATCATTTTGATATCGTTGGCATCTGCACTCAAAGTAAAGTAAACCTTAGTGTATTTTTCTCAATGTACTCACAGTCTTCAAATTAGCTTGGTCAATAAATCAGTCCTTAAAGGAATTAACTCACCATTTACTGTCCCTCATGTGGTTTTAAACCTTTATGAGTGTCGTTCTGCTGTAAAACAAAAAAGAAGGTATTTTGAACAACACTGGTTGATGGTATCCATTGACTTCCGTAATAACTATGGAAGTCAATAGGTACAAGCAACCGGCGTTTTTCAAAGCAACTTATTTTATGTATGTTCAACTGAAAAAGAAACTCAAATAGGTTTTGTACTAGTGAAAGGTAAGTAAAGGACAGCGATCTCAACTATCCCTTTAAGCAACAAAACCTTCTGAAATACCCCTCATCCTTATGAACATCTTTCACCCTGTCTGAAATCTCAAAAGGTTTCTAAAGGATATGATTTATTAGCACTAATGCCACCACGCCAAGTCCAGCATGCAATGCTCCTTTTTTATTTCGTTTTTTTAACCCATTAGAAACATACGGCCTGAGAGGCAGACTGATTTCCGTATGCCGACTGTGGGCTAAAAGCGTGACCACATTCTTAACTCACAACCCTGCTCTATAGCTACCAGAACACCCTATACCCTTAAATTGACGGACTTGTGCTGTCATGCTTGACACTAGAGCTCTTCAGAAAATATTTGTGGTCGAATAATACAACGCTGATAAAAATCCAGCTTTAAGAGTACCACCGTTTTCCTCTCCAGCACAGACATCCTTGGGGATTTATCATATCTCAGCAATCTAATTATACCACCACCACACACAAAAAAGGAGCATTATCATATTATAAGGCTGTGCATCGCTCATAATGAACTCTATTAGAAATGATGGGAATTAGGCTGTCATAACAAAGTTACACTCACGGACAACAATGACGTGACAGGGCTCACCCCGTGCGTGTCTGCGTGCCTGCATGTCAGTTAAATCCATGGCCTTAACAGACGCAGCGAGGGAGACTGTAGCTTATTAGCCACATAACCTGATTGAGCGAGCACTGTAGCGGCTACCCAAACCTATCTAATTACACGGCCCTGCCTCGTCCGAGACTCAAAAGTGACGCTCGCCAATTACACTAATCACCTTCACCAACGAAAAGCAGTCGTTCCGGGAAACGGACACGGACGATATTAAAGTTCAGCTCCTGATGCATTTAGGGAGATCCTCGTTTGTTGCTATTCGCTTCAAAATTGTTGTGTTCTGGTTATTTCTTTGTTTACATCATAAGCTGTGCATTTCTGTTTTTACAATGCTATGGATCTGGATAATGACTAACGTGTGTCTTCTTTTCTCTCTCTCTCTTTCCAGTGCACCCATGCCATATTTGGTCGGAGTTCATCTCAGCCTTTTAGAGGTATGTCACTTAAATCTGCTGTCAAACAACTTTAAAGGGTTTGACGTGAAGTTTGATCAGACGCTGCTTTTCAATATTGCATAAAGCATCATTCTTTATTTATGTATGTTTTTTTTTATGTACATCGGGTCATTTAAAACCCTGAGATGCTAATATCACCTATCTACCTTGATGCATCATTGGTGAGCCAACATAGGGAAACCTAGAAAAACTGACACATTGTTTTATTTTTTTTATTTTTTTTATTTTTGCTTTTCATCTCCCGGGCGCCCATGAGGAATGAAAGAGCTGGAGAAGCGGCGCAGAAACAAAGAGACAGTGCGTTCGGTTATTGAGAAATGGCATGTTGGTTGGAGGTAGACCTATAGCTTTGCGCGCAGATCTGATAGCGCTGACAGTCGCGCCGGTGCTGGTGTTTATCACACGTTCGCCCGCTGACAGTCCCGACCCCCCCCCTCGCTTCCCTCCCCAATCCGGCTGCACGTAATTAGACCAAATCAGCACACGGGCCGCCGTAGCAGCGACTGTCAAAAATGACAAACCAGAAATTTTTTACACACTTGGCTGTTTCCCCCACCTGCACTGGAGGAATAATTATTGGATTTGTCGCCACTACTGTGACTACCATTGTGTGGAAGCACAAACCTGATACATTCAGCGTGCCTGAGTGCTTTTGCATTTGATTAGCTGTGGTGTATCTTGGAATTAAAGTGTGTGTAGCACTAAAACAAATAAAACAAATCATTGAATTAAAAGATATAGTTACTCCATGTATGTTTTCACTTGTTATGCAGAAATCAGGACTCAATAACTTGTATGTTTAATAATTAATATCTTTGATTTACGCATTTGCTGAATAAATCTTTGCCTGATTGAGTTTTTATGTGGAGGTTTTGAAAAATGCGAGAGGAATTTAATAATAAAAACGTTTCTCATGTGTTTTAGCTTTATGTTATTGTTAACTTCGTCTCAGTTGGAGGTTATTTAAATGCGGAAATAGGAATAAGCAGCCCGCAGTGTAACAAAGTGTGTTGCATTTCCAGAGAGTAAAGAGCAGATCCCTGGAGGATGTGGTCATTCTGAACGTGGACACAAACACCCTGGAAAGCCCCACAGATGACCTGCACAACCTGCCTAGTGATGTGGTGAGTGTCCATAAATGACGCAGACACATACACACCTAGAAATCCAAAGGAGGATTGACCCTGGACTTCTACTGTTCTGATAATTATAATCTATAAAGTAGGATTTTAAAGGCACTGTGTATATGATATAATATAATGTATAAAATAATGTATAATATAAGATAAGATAAGATAAGATAAGATAAGAATTTACCTAGTAATGAGAACTTGCTTTAGATTTCTATTGTTTATATATAAATGGAATAACTACAGACTAAATACTACAGTAGTTTAGAAATGAAATAGTGTGTATTTGTCAATTCAAATCTGCTCTGAAAGTGTCTGAAAGGGGAATGTAAAATTTTGTGAGATGTAATATCAAACAAACAAATAATATAAGCAACATATTGTGTTTTTATTTTTAAGAACACTATTTAAGGACATACATTTTTACCAAAAAATTGAAAAAAATATTGTTATTTTATGTATTAGTTTAATTTTTCCCAAAGGAGAGGTCACCCATAATTCCATATTTTTTGTCCTTTTTGAGAACTCAAATTAGAGCGGATACACCACAGTCATCTATTGTTTATAATTAACCCAAATTTTTCTACAAATTTTACACACCAATTCTAAAGCTTACTAACTTACTTTGTTTTATGAAAAGCAATATGTATTTCACTAAAGGAATTAAGACATCCCTTCATCTCTAAATGTCTGTGAATGTGTATATTATAAAATATAATGTGATGTAATATAATATAATATAATATAATATAATATAATATAATATAATATAATATAGTATAATGTAACATAATATAATGTGATGTAATATAATATAATGTTATATAATTTCATGAAATGTATTGTAATGCAATGTAATATGATGTAATATAATGGAATATAATTTAATATAATGGAATATAATTGAATATAATTTAATTTGATGTAGTGTAGTGTAATGTAATATAATGCAATGTAATAATGTAATATACTGTAATGTGAAATAATTTAATAAAATGTAATGTTATATACCGTAATGTAATATAATATAATATAATGTATTGTAATGTAATGTGATATAATGTAAGATAAAATAATTGTATTAGTATTATAATGTAATTTAATGTGGTATGTGATAAAATATAATTTAATGTAATTCTATGTAATGTAATGTTATATTATATTACAATATAATATAATATATTATAATATAATATATTGTTATAATGTAATATAATAAAATGTAATGTAATAATGTAATATATAATATAATATAATAAAATATAATATAATATAATGTAACGTCATAAAGTTATTCAATGTAATGTAATTTAATGTAATAATATAATATAATATAATATAATATAATATAATATAATATAATATAATATAATATAATATAATATAATATAATATAATATAAAATAATATAATATAATAAAAATACAGATATTTAATCATTATTGTTATGAAAGTTTCTCCTAATTTCACAGTTTTGAAGAGTACACACACACACACACACACACACACATTTCCATTTCTGTTCTGTTTTCTTTTCTTTCTTTTTTTTTGCTTGATCAAATGTATCGGACAAGCATGCACACGCACACACACACACACACACACACACACACACACACACACACACACACACACACACACACACACACATGCACACACCAACAGAAATGTGATTGCCGTTTTCCCTCATTTTCTCCATCTCTTTCGCCTTCCTTCACATTTGAACAAACAGTCTTTCTCTGGTCCGAAGAACACAGCGCACCTCTGTCCTCTCATCATTAACAGAAGAATCCCCCTAAAAAAACATCTCTGCAAACTTGCCCTGTGACGTTAAACACCCGTCGCAGTTCGCCGGCCATTTCCAACTCCAGCCTTCATCTCTCTCTCTCTCTCTTTCTCTTTTTTTCATCTTTTTTTTCTCTTCCTTTTTGCCTGCCCAGTGGCACATCGTGCTAGAAGTCCTGCATTTTCTGAAGGCGCACAGAAGAAGGGGGCCAATTATTAGATCCTGCTTTTCTGCCACCTGCCAGCGCCTTCTCTCTTTAATTAATGTTTAGGTGGTGCGGTCAGTGCAACAGGAAGTGCATCCAGCACCGGGGTCACAAACGCATCTGTCATCTGTCCTTTTGAACATAAAGAAACATGTATTTTTTTCCATCCCGCCGGGGGGTGTGTTTTAACACTCATATATGACTCGGTGGATCCCGCTGCTGTCTGTCCAAGCAGAAAAAGCCAGCCTGTTCTGTTATGCCATCTCAGCACTGGCATCCCATTTGTAAATTAAATTGCAAACCGAAAGCAAAGAAGAAGAAAAAAAAAAGAAAGGAGTCGGGTCTTTTGGAACTGACGGAGGGGAAAGAAAAAACCTCTTTGTCTTCATAGCGTGATAAATTAAGTGGCAGCTCCATGTTTGCTTTGATCCTCTCTTGCAATTTTTCATTGACTAATGATAGAGCGGATTCTGCATATCATGTTAAATTACCCCACCTGAATGTAAATGTCACCTACAATAATATATTTATCACCACAGAAAAATTCATTTCTCTCTCCCTCTGGTTTGCATACCTTTGGGGATATTAAAATTCATAACTCAGGGAATCGCTTTAAATTGAGCAAAAGCTTTTCTTTTTTTTTCCCTCTCCACGCTTTTCCTCTTAAATTGTCTGTCACATGCCTCGAATGTATTTAATCGAATCAATTAATGCATTCAAATGCACTCTAGCTTCCAGTTAAATAAATAAATACAAATAAATCAACGCATTTTAGATCTATTAAGCAAGATTTAATAGAACTGACCCTCTTTTTTCCCTTTAAGTGTTTCATTGATTGAAGCCGAACAGTTTGAGATGCATGTAATTAAGTGCTTGACGTTTTTTTTTTTTTTTTTCTTCACCATGTGGACTTTATTATTAAGCTCGTCTGACCACTAGTCCTGCTTTCAGACGGGTCAGGGGTGACAGTTGTGCTGAATTACCTGCGCTTTTTTCAGACGGGGGACCCTATGCTGTGCTCTCCGCTGTCTGTCACTTAATGGCAGTTTTTCCCAATTTCACACATAATATTTTAGATTTATTGACTATTAGAAATGCTACCACGCCAGTAGCGATTGCACTGCAAACAATCCTAGGGATTTTACAAATGGAGATAATAATTGGCGCAGCTCAGAGAGGATGTGGCGATCGTTCGGGAGGGATTTCAAACATGCTCTTTTATTGGAAACATCAGATGGGACGAGGTTGAAAGATTGTCGGTTTTAATCACTGTTGTTGTTTTTTTTTAATGTCACACGAGGGTTTGAGATTCATTGAGATGGTTATTATGTACAATGTGTGAAGTTACAAATGTCATCAGACTCTGAGAGTAACATTTTTTTTGCTAACTTTGTTTAGTTGATTTAGTTAGTCACAGTCACTCTCTTTCTTTCTTTTTTTCTTTCGTTTTTATCCTTTTGTTTTGGTTTGGTTTTTATTTTTGCTTCATTTTGTTTTTTATTTTTATTTTATTTTTTTGTTTTGATTTTAAGTTTTTTAAATATATTTTTGTTTTGTTTGTTTTAAATGTATTTGTTTGTTTTTATTTTTTTGTTTCATTTTATTTTGTTTTTATTTTTTGTATTGTTTGTTTTTTATTTTTTGTTTTGTTTTGTTTATTTTTTTATTTTTGTTTGTTTTAAATTTTGGTTATGTTTGTTTTTATTTTTGTTTCATTTCATTTTGTTTTTATTTTTTGTTTTGTTTGTTTTTATTTTTTGTTATGTTTGTTTTTATTTTTGTTTCATTTAATTTTGTTGTTTTTGTTTTGTTTGTTTTTTATTTTTTGTTTTGTTTTGTTAATTTTCTTTTTGTTTTTTTTTGTTTGTTTAAAATTTTTGTTTTGTTTATTTTGTTTGTTTTTAGTTTTAGTTTTGTTTGTTTTATTTTTTGCCTTGTTTTTTTTCTGTTTTGTTATTACTTTTTTATGTTTGGTTTTTGTTTTGTTTTAATTTTTTTATTTTTGTTTTCTTTGTTTTGTCTGTTTTTTTCTAGCATTGATTTAGTTAGTCCACAGTCACTGCTTTTTTAAAACAAAAACTTTGTAAAACAAGGGTTTAAATACAGCCTGAATGCACATTTTGATGTGCATTTTTGATGTGTCAAAGATGTGTAATCTTTGAAGATTAATCATCTTTTTGAAAGTGTCTCACTAGGGTTTGAAATAATTTAAAACCCATTCTTAATGTGTGATAAAGTTGTCATCACACTCTGAAGTGAGTATAATGTGACTTTGTGAAACCAGATGCATAAAATATGTATATATTGAATTTTTAAGAAAGTGTAAGGCATTGTTGCAGTTTTTTTTAATGTGTCGATTGAGAGTTCGACAAATGTCGCTCTCTGAACAAGTGACTTTGATTAATGAAACATGAAAGGATATATTTTATGCTGCTAATAATTCTGATTTCAACTGTATATGACAAGAAAACAACAATTTGCAACATCAAGCAGCATAATGAGCTGTTTTAAACGTCTTGAACAATTGAAGTGAATGAGACCGGAAGTCTTGAGCCAAAAAGATTACAATGGCTGTGCCCACTCCTACTCCAAGAATAAGGTAAATAAAACAACTATGAAAAAGCTAACAATGCCTAAACTGAATGCATTATAATATGAGTATTTCATCCTGCATATTAAAATACTTCTCGTTATGCTAACTTTTTTACAGAAAGTCCACAAATTGTGTTTTGGAAAAAAAAAATTCCTTATTAACTTCAATCATAACATTGCAAATGTCAGTCTGAATTGAGTATAAATTACTTTCTGATCCCTCATTTTAAAAGTGTCTTTTTATACTAACTTTATTTTGCATCATTTAAGAAACTCCACGTATTGTCTATTTTAATCACTACATTTTTAGAAGGTATCAGATGAGAGTCTGTTTTTTTAATTTTGTACAAGTTAAAAAAAAGTTTCAAATGTCATTTCTTAACGTGACTTTCTGATCCAACCTAATATAAA